CCTTACCATTCTAAATCCACACTTGTTGCCATTAACCAAAACATATCAAGCTGCGTGCTGTGCAATGATAGCGCTCACGAAATCAATCATTGTCCCAATTTTATAGCACTTTCTCCCGCAAATCGCCATAAAGAAGCCAAGAGGCTCCGTGTGTAAATTGTCTCATGCAGTCCATGCAGCTCCAGCAAATGCCGTACCTGTGGGCGTAGGCACCACACTCTCTTGCATTTCGGAGGCCCTGATGCTACTGCAGCCCAAGGTGGATCTGTTTCACTTGGCACTTCGTCTCCGTCTGCGTCGTCTCATCCCATCACTGAGTCCTCTGCTTCAGCGTCTACGGCGGCTACCTATACCACTGAACCTCTTCTGCTCTTATTGCCCAGGGTCTCAGTGATGATGTCGTTCTGCTAAAAAATCAGTCCGGAGTTTTTGTTCCCTGTCGAGCTTTGCTTGAATCCGGCTCTCAACTACACTTAATTACTTCTCGCTTCACAAATCAGCTTCAGCTTCGGAAAATGAAAGCTTGTTTTACGAACTTTTCTGTGTTGGCCAGGTCACGCTATTCAGAAGACTCGCTTGTGATGGGTCATATCTGGAGGTTGTTCCCGTGTAAAGGAGAAGTCCTCTTTAATGGTTTCGCGCGAGTTAACATCTCTACTTCCCCAAGATGGCACACCTACTGCTGACTGTCCCCCGTAACCAATGTCCACTGTACTGGACATGACACGGAAGCCGAGAAGAGACAGAACAAGGAAGGAGAGACAAGGCAGGAAGACAAGGAAGGAGAGACAAGGAAGGAGAGACAAGGAGAGAGAGAGATAGGGATCGACATATAGCAGGCTTATTTAAAAAGAGCAAAGCCAGAATAAATCATCATTAAACTTTTAACACTAAAACGATACAGATGTCCTGTGTTTTGGGAAAAGAACCCTTGATTATTTGCCATAGCAAATAACGGTAATAATTACGCTCCCATAAATCCGTCTGGATACATAACTGGCGCAGCCGAAGAGACCTGCTGACAGAAAAATGGGACCTTCTGTCAGAAGGAAGAACCAAAGTATAACAGCATGGATGAAGAAAATTTTAAGATAAGTTATATAAAAACACATAAGTACATATGGGCGTTCCGCCAAAAGGTCTACCACGACCGAAAATTTAAAATTTAGACAAAAGCTTTTTTTACTTTAATACAAAGAGAAATATTTGAAATTAAATAATTAAAGAGATCACAGTCTCCTCAAACCGATTGCATACGGCCAAAGTCCAACTCATTTGGCGTTTTGTTTATTTGTAAGACGGTTCTCTTTACACATTAATTGTAAGAGTACACTTCGATTGCAACCTTTATCGCAAAACTGTTGCTCCAATAACTAATAACCGTAAATAAATGAAAGAGAGCTAGCAAATATTTATTAACTTAAAATTTTGATTTGCTTTTGGGAGTTCTAATGTAACGTAACGCCAGAAAAGAATTTAGTCTTTTTGTGTCTTCGTATGATCAAAAGGATAAAAGTTAGCGACTAACAAATAACGTAGAACACATTCAACAAAATGCAAGGACGCTACAGCTACTACATTTTATATATTTCTAATTGTGTAACGTACGCCAGATTGTAAGTAACTTTTATTCGCTGGTTTATTATATTTTACAATAAATTATCAGTTATACAGATGGATTTAGCAATAACGGGAAAATTTACTCAGAGCGATACAGGAAAAAATGAAATGGACTAGGTGGGGCCGAGCAAGAGGGCGGTAAATAAAGTTATATAGGCAAACAAGACGGCTAGACAAAAAAAGAACAAACTCGTTTAGGGTAGAAAAACCGATGAGGGGAAGGTAAACTGAGACAGATTCCCTCACTGGTAGCCTACAATTGCAAGCAAATTTGGAAAGCTTCAAGAAGGAAAACTGTTTGCCAGAGACCCGCAGAAAAGGCACATATTGTTGACTTACTATATAAAGAATATGGTTCAACATCTTTTAACAAAATCAGTTAGGATCGAAAAAGAAGAACATGTTAAAGAATTTTATTTGCGCGACGTATTTGCTCCTGGTGGAGGACACTTTAATTGTGATGGCGTGATCATGGCCAAGCGCTTTATGTTGTTGACGGTGAGGAGTCCCGAAGGAGTGGGACTAACTACGTTAGTAAAGGGTTTCGATTGACCAACAGTTATATGAGACCCACATATATGTGCGTGTGTTGTATCATGCCAATGTTTCCTGAAGAGTGCAGAATTATAAAACAATTCCACAATTTGAACATTCCTGAATGGTGTTAGCTAGTGATGAGTATGATGGTATTGTAAGTCAGGAATGTAATGGATTTGTTCCCTTAAAATACTATTTAATGGATGTTTAATGGAAACATTGGGCAAGTGGGACCGGATTGCTGACAAGCACCGAAGGTTCTTTCTGATCTTCTATACGAACTGATGCTCACTCCTTTTTTAAACGACACTTTTTTGTTAAACGTTCCCAGCAAACGTATTTTGATACCAAAAACAATATATTCAGCAGCAACTGGTTCTGCAATTGTTTGGATTCAGATTAATTTTTCATAATGAGATACAGAGCGCTCACTTCAGCTACCGACAGGTTACCATTTTTACTTGCGTTGCTTGGGTAATGAGCGGTGTAAAGTCGTATGTATAATCAGTGACAAACTCACCCACAATAAGTTCGAGTTTGTGCTTTTTCAAGCTTGTGGACATTAAAACAGAACACGAACAATTTAAAAATTTTATATATTCTCAGATGGAGCAGCTCCATTTAAAACAGTATATGCTGAATTACCTGATTGGTTTTGGTGGAACTATTTTGAACCTCTCACGGCAAAGGTGCGACGATGGTGTGGGGACCATAAAACGAAAAGTTTGAGATTACAACAAAGAATATTTGCAACGCCTATTTGTTTTACATGTGTTGACAAGAGGAATTAATTTAACATATATTTCTTCAAAACAAATGACGAATTTTGTGGGCTAGCTGAAAGTGGAAGAGGTGGAAAATACCTGGCATACATGCAAGCATTATTTGTCACAGCGAGACATGCAAATAAAAGCAGCTGAATGATTTTCAATAAAACTTGTAACGAACCGGTTTGGTCCGCCTTGGTGGCTTCTTTGCAACGAATTTGGGTGTTGCCCGGGGACAAAGCAGAAAGACTTGGTTGGCTTCTTTACACACGAGTTCTTTATTAGTATCTTAGGAAGTACGCTTAAGGACGACAACTTAGTCTATTCTTTGGTTTAGCACTGGGATCACCGTCACGTTTGGTCCTTCTCGCCCACTCGCCGTTCCTCGGGATCCCCAAGCGTGGCACTGTCGGCTCTGAGAACTGGTACGACAACGACTCTTGGCGCTAAGCCCAAGTCCGCCGTACTCAGTTCGCACACGACACGTTCGCTCTCACTGGATCCCTCCGTTGCGCGAGCGGTACACGAGTTCCTTCCTCTCGACGCTTTCACTGTCACGTTTTGTCCTTCTTGCCCACTCGCCGTTCCTCGGGATCCCCAAGCGTGGCACTGTCGGCTCTGAGAACCAGTACGACAACGACTCTTAGCGCTAAGCCCAAGTCCGCCGTACTCGGTTCGCACACGACACGTTCGCTCTCACTGGATCCTTCCGTAGCGCGAGCGGTACACCAGGTCCTTTCTCTTGATGCTTTTTGGGTAACTTTCTGACTCTCTTCGATATTTGCTGTCACACGCACTTGCACTCTCCGCACTTGACTGTCCCGAGCCGAAGTCGCGCGCCTCCTTTTATTTCCTCCTTGGCGCACGGCCGCCTCGTCGCTGCCTGGCAACAACGGGACTTCCCTCCAGTCGTCGGCGTTATTTTCCATCGGCTCGTCCGATGCTCTCCACCTGCTTCGTAACGGGACCCAACCGGTGGCGTGATCGCATGGCCATAAATGGTCATGCGCTGGACCACTGCCGGCCCGATCCCACTATCCCGCCTCTCTTCTGCCTTCCACTTGCTTGGCAACGGGACCCAGCTGGTGGCGTGATCGCATGTCCATAAAAGGTCATGCGCTGGACCACTGCCGGCCCGATCCCATTGTCCCGCCTCTCTTCCGCGCTCCTTTGCTCTCCCTGGTAGCGCCCTCCGATCGCGGCTCTCTACGTTGCCCCTCCTTTGGGCGAGCCCCTCCCAGGCAACTCGCCGTTATCCGGTTATCCGGCCACCGGGATAGCTCTTAACCCCTTAGGGTCCATGCGTGTGAGGACATCATTCCTCACACTTCCCCCTTTCTTCCCCAACGAAAGATTCCCCTCTGCGACCTCTCGTAAACCCGGCCGTTAAAGTTTGAATTTCAACGGCCGCCCGCGCCTTTACACCGGGCGGGTTCTGGCGCCCTCTGCCGGCCCAGGCACGTTCTGGCGCCCTCTGCTGGACCGGGCGCGTTCTGACGCGCCCCCTGCCGGGCTTACCTGATGGGGTGCTGCCGGATCGGTGAAACGCGCACGCGCGTGCGACTATCACAGGGCTGCATACCGGCCATCGATATGACGTAGGGATGAATTCCTGTCCCACTCGATATCACTCTCTTGGCCGCGTGCGTACTCCACTTCCGCAACGAGGAATTTGTCAATGGGTGATGGTAAGTGCCTTTCTTTTATTTTCCTTTTTTCTTATCATGATCTCTGTTTATTTACCAAGCCCCAGATTCTCGGCAGACCTCCTGGTGGTCCCGGGACACCGTTACCCGGTACCGGACCCCTCCGTCGTTCACCAGACGCTTGATGCGCCTCGAGGTGAACCGCGTTCGAGCCAGGACGCGCTCCACCGCCCCTGGCCACTCCTCCCGTCTCACGGGCCGCCAGCGTGGGCCCTCCGCCCCTCGCTGTGCCTGCGGCCACGACGCCTGGCGCTGCATGGGTGCCCGCGGTCTCTCCCGCTCCTCCGGACACGACACCTGCCGCTCCGGCCTTGGATTGGCGCGCCTGGCTTCCGGCGCGGGCCACTGCCACGGACCCCGCTCCCATGGCTCAGGTGAGCAAACTCCCGCCGTGCTCGCGGCTGGCTCCGCTGCCGCCTTCGCTGCCGTCGTCGCTGCGCTTGCCGTCGCTGGCTCCGCTGCCGCCATCGCCTCTGCCGCTGCGCTCGCCGTTGCTGGCTCCGCTGTCTCTGCCGCCGCCGACTCTGCCGCTGCGCCCGGCGCTGCTGGTTCCGCTGCCGTCGCGCTTGGCGTCGTTGGCTCCTCTGCCGCCGTCGCCTCTGCTGGTTCCATCGTGGGCTCCGCTGCCGCCGCCGACTTCGCCGTCGCGTTTGCCGCTGCGCTCGCCGTTGCTGGTTCCGCTGCTGGCTCTGCTACCGCCGTGGCCTCCTTCGGTTCCCCCGCGGGCTCCGCTGCCGCCGCCGACTTTGCCGCCGCGTTTTGCGTTGCTGGTTCCACTGCCGGCTCCGCTGCCGCCGCCGACTTTGCCGTCGCGCCCGGCGTTGCTGGTTCCACATTGGGCTCCGCTGCCGCCGCCGTCTCTGTCGTCGCGCTCGCCGCTGCCGGTTCCGCTGCTGGCTCCGCTGCCGCCGCCGACTCTGTCGTCGTGCTCGCCGCTGCCGGTTCCGCTGCTGGCTCCGCTGCCGCCGACCGCCCCCTTGGGTCGCGGCCATTGCTCCGTCGGACTGGCGTCTCCTCCAGACCCGCGCTTCTTCCGGAGCCTCCGGCTCCCTAGGTGCCGGCCCCGACGCCCAGGTGATGTGGAGGATTTGGTGGTGCCACACCATTCCTCCCCGGACCGCCGTCCGCACCTCCTGCGTTACGTACGGCCCGATCACCGCGCCTTGTGGTCCCTGCCACTGGTGTTGCTGCTGCTGCCACGAGGCGTCCGCTCCCGGCCGCTGTTGCTGGGACGAGGCTTGGGGCCCCCTTCCTCCTTCGGGAAACCTCGCCTCCTCCTCGGTCCGCGGTCGTCGCTGCCACAGCTCCTCCTCCTCCTCCGGCTCGGCCTGGCCACGGTCTTCGGGCTCCGGCGTTGTAGGGGAAGGCTGCCACAGGCCCTCCTCCTCCTCTTCCGCCCGACGTAGCCGCTCCTGCCACTCTTCTTCTGCCGTGGCCGGGCCTCGGCTCTCGGGTCCCGGCGTCGGAGGGGACGACTGCCACCGACCCTCCTCCTCCTCTGTGCACCGCCTTGCCTCTTCCTCGCGGCTCTTCTCCTCTGCCCTCCGTCGCTCGCTCTCTCGCAATTCGGCCGCCACCTTTTCCAGCACACACTTCCGGTGGTGCTCCTCCGCCTCCTGCCGGGCCTTTTCCTTGGCCTCCTCGGCCGCCTGCTCCGCCTCCTGCGTGGCCTTCAGCCTCTTTGCCAGCGCCCGCGCGTCCTCCCAGACCCGCTGCTGTCGCAGCGCCTCCTTTGCTGCTTCCAGCGCGATCCGCCGCCGCCACTCCGCGACCCGCTTCTCCTCGGCCTCCCGCTCCTCGGCGTCTGCCGGTGGCCGTGCCACCGTCGGTCGCTCCTCCGCTTCTGCTGAGGGCTGCTTCGCTGGCCGACTCGCCACTGGTCGCGCCTCCGCCTCTGCTGAGGGCCGCTTCGCTGGCCGCCTCGCCACTGGTCGCGCCTCCGCCTCTGCTGAGGGCCGCTTCGCTGGCCGCTTCGCTGGCCGCCTCGCTACTGGTCGCGCCTTCTTGGGGCCGGGCTCCCAGCTTGTCACCACCACGTCGCTGTCGGCTTCGCTGGCCCCAGGAGACACCAGCGGCGACACCGTGGCTCCCACTGACCCTTCCGATGGGATCAGTGGGGACGCAAGGAGCTGCAGCTCAGGGGACGCCTCCCTCCGTTGTCCTTCGCCATCCTGCGAGAGCCGATTCGCTCGTCGCTGGCTCCGGGACACCGAGGCATAATATCCCCGTCGCATCAAGCTCCGTTGCTCCGCCAGGTATCTCGCCATATGCTGCCTCATCTTAACCTTTTTTTTTTTGACACGTGTACCAAAAAGAGCCGAGTGACGGACGCGCTCCCCTTTTTATATTCCTGGGGCGCGTGTTCATCGTTCCGCCTAACGGGGCTTTGCCTGAGCCTCTCACTTCGCTCTCTCTCATTATTCTGAGTCTCTCTTTCTTCACCAATGAGAGACGGCCAAGTACCGTTTATCCAACTTCTTCGCCGCGTTAACCCTATACAGCCGACTCGGGGTCGTTAGGCACACTTGTCTCTGATAAGTCCACCTCTCCCCTTTTTTTTTTCTCCGGCCATAGCGAGGTTCGATCACTGCACCGAGTGGATTCGCTTTTGTACACGGTAAATATCCAGCTTCCTGGGATCCCACATCTGATTTTCTTCTCTTTCCAGCCCGACCCCAGACTCACCCCAGGATGCTGACCATCATTCCCACCCGCGAACAACAGGCCCTCCGGCCTTTCGCCCGGGTTGCCGAATGACGGCCCGCCACCCGGTCAGCTTCTCCCGTCTTCGGATCGATCGCCCTCCGGATGTCCCCCCGTACAGCAGCTCGGACCCGAGGATCATCCGATTCCCCGCCCGGCAGACTGCGTATGGGCGGCATCCGATCTGGTCGTTCCCGACGCTCGAAAACCGCTCCTGGTGTCCTGGAGTGGATCCGGATCTTGGCCCCTTCTCGGAACCCCATCTGGAATCACCGTGTACTCCGACGCATCTCACCGTCCGTATCCGCGATTCCACACCTGTCGGGTATCATTGACCTTTGCCTTTTTTTTTCTCTGATGTTACCATTCATTTCTTCCAGATATCTTCACGCCCGATCCTGCTATTCGCCGCGGCCTTGGCTCCTCCCTTTTCGTGTAGACCTTTTTTTTTTTCCTTATGTCTCCTCCTCCCTCGGTTGCGGTTTCAGGTCACTAATATGGGCTGTCCTCATCCGATTATCCTTGGGGCCCTTCATTCGGCAGATGACGGGTGACACGAAATCCGTTATTGTGTACGGACCCGCATACTTCGGCGCCAGCTTGGCTGCAAACCCCTCAGCCGCCTTTGATAAATGGTGTTGTTTCGCCCATACCACCTCTCCGATCTTCGGCTTCCAGGGCCTTCTCCTTAGATTGTAGAACCTCGCCTGGTCCTGCGCCGCCCTTTCCAGGTTCCGCCTCACCAACTGAAACAATTCTCTCATCTTGCTTGCGTTCTCGTCCGGCGTAAGCGGGCCCTGGCCGGTCCCTATTGTTTCCTCATCGAATAGGGCTTTTGGCAGACGTGGTTCCCGGCCTTGGACAATAAACGCCGGCGAGTACCCTGTTGAGTCGGACACGCCCGAGTTCACTGCCAACATGAGTTCTGGCCATTTCTCGTCCCAGCATCTTTGGTCCCCCTCGCAGAATTGCGCGATCATGGTTTTTACTGTCCTATTCGTGCGTTCCGTGGGATTCTCCTGGGGCGTATAGGGTGCCGTGAACTGGTGTCTGACCCCCGTCTGCTCTAGAAACTTTTTGAAAATCCGGCTCGTAAACTGGACTCCGTTGTCCGTAATTATCACCTTCGGCACTCCGAATCGCGCCACTATGCGTTCTCGTACCGCTTTTGTGAGTGTCTCAGCCGTGGCCTTCCTTAGTGGCACTAACTCTGTCCACTTCGAGAACCTGTCCACCAGCACCAGCAGCATTGAATTCCCGTGCTTAGACCTGGGCAGTGGTCCCACGAAATCCGCACACACCGTCACCCAGGGTTCCTCGGGCACCTGGGTCAGCATCTTTCCGGCGGCTTGTTGTTGATTTGGTTTGAACCTTAGACATACTTCGCACTTCCTCACGTAGGCCCTCACGTCTCTATGCATCCCGGGCCAGTAATAGCGTCCCGCCACGCGCGCCATGGTCTTCCTTCCTCCGGAATGTCCCGCCTCCGGTGTGTCGTGGTTTTCCTTGATGACTCTACGCCGTAGGTCTATCGGGACACACATCTTCCAGGCCGCGACTTCCTCGTCTCCGGCTCTGTGGGGAATGTGCCTATACACCTTCCCCGCCTCCTCCACGTAGTCGGGGAATTTCTCGGGCTCTTTCTTGATTTGGTCCTTCACCTTCGCTATCCACGCACATGGGGCCACCGTTTCCGAGACCCCGACTGGTTCGTCGTCCACCCTCATACACCGCTCCCCCAGCGGCTGCCGGGAGAGCGCATCGGCCACCACGTTGAGTTGTCCCTTTCTATACGCGATCTCGAAATCATACTGTTGCAGTTCTAGGGCCCACCGGGCGACTCTTCCTGTTGGGCTTTCGATGCTGTTAAGCCACTTCAACGCCATATGGTCGGTGACCACCTTGAAGTGATATCCCTCTAAGTACGGTTTTAACTTCCTTATGGCCCATACAATGGCCAGGCACTCCTTTTCGGTCGCTGAGTAATTCCTCTCAGCACTATTGAGCGTTCTGCTGGCGTACGAGATAACTCGTTCTCCTCTCTCGGTCTCCTGGGTAAGGATCGCCCCCAGCCCGTAATCACTGGCATCCGTCTGCAGCACAAACTTCCTCCTGAAATCTGGACAGGCCAGCACTGGGTCTGCCACCAGTCGACCTTTTACCGCCTCAAACGCCTGCTGCTGCGCCTCCGTCCACTCCCACTTCGCCTTCTTCTTCAATAGCGCGCTCAGTGGCTGTACCAATGTGGCGAAATCGGGTACGAACCTTCGATACCACGAGGCCACGCCTAGATACTGACGTAGCTCCTTGACACTGCTTGGGGGCTGTAGTTCAGCTATCGCTGCCACCTTCTCGGGATCCGTGCAGATGCCCTCCCCCGTCACCAGGTGTCCTAAGTATCGCAATTCCTGTCGGAAGAACTGGCACTTTCCGATGTTCAGCCTCAAATTTGCCTTCTTTAGACGCCTGAACACCTCCTTTAGATTCCGCTGGTGCTCCTCCTGGGTCTTTCCTATGACTATGATGTCGTCCTGGTAGGCAAAGGCATGAGGCATCATTTCGGGTCCAATTACACTGTCCAGTGCGCGCTGAAATGTGGCAGATGCGGAGTGTAGTCCAAACGGCATCACCTTCCACTGGAACAGCCCTTTCCCTGGCACCGTGAAGGCGGTAATCGGTCTGCTGGCCGCTTCCAGGGGAATCTGCCAATACCCATCCTTCAGATCTAGGCTGCTGATAAAGCGAGCCTCTCTCAACTGATCCAGGATGAAGTCTATCCTTGGCATGGGGTAGGCATCCTTGACCGATTTTGCGTTAACCTGACGGAAATCGACACACAGTCTCCACTGCCCGGTTTTCTTTTTGACCATCACGATCGGCGAACTGTAGGGGCTCCGCGATGGCTCAATGCATCCCAGCTCGATTAGCTCGTCCACCTTTTGGTCGATCTCGGCCTGCATCTTGGGATTCTTGGGGTAGTATCTTTGCTTGATGGGCTGTGCATCCCTCATTGTGATCGTGTGCACCGCCACGTTGGCCGTCCCCGTCATCTCCTTGAACTCGGCCAACTCCCGCTCAAGGAATCCTTCTACCGTTTCCTTCTCCCGCGACTCCTCGCTCGACCCTTCCTCTGGGGACTCGGTCACCCCCTCTCCGTCTGTCGAGGGCGCCGCGATGGCCTCCACTACCGCCACGGATAGCCTCTCCTCCGGCCGTCCGTCCCGTCGGTCTTTCGCAGGGATCACGACCCTGTGCCCCGCACAGGTCACCTCTGCGCCGACTGCGGTCAGGAAGTCCCAGCCGAGGACCAACGCGTCGATCACGCCCGGTAGCACGAGCAACGACATCCACACCTTCTTGTCTCCGAAGGCCATTTCCACTTCGAGTTGTGTATTAACCTCTTGACTGTGGCCGTCCGCCAGCCGCACGCGTTTCTTCGTCTCGTGCTCGCGTCCGACTCCCCGCAGCTGCTCCGCCAATTCACAGCTAATGAAACTGCTGGTGGCCCCGGTGTCCACCGTGGCCTTCCATTCGTTTCCCGCAATCACCACCACCGCGGACAGCTGCACTTCCTCCTCGGCGAGCTCGCCGACTAGGTTGTTGGGGCCTCCTCTTGCGACCCCGGCACGGCCCTTCGTGGCTTGGGTCGCGGGGCGTTTCCCGCCCTTTTGCAGCACTGCCAGGTTAACACGCCGACCTTGCCGCACCGCCAGCAATATGTCAGAGGGCGCCCTGAGCACGCTTGCGCCCAATGGGCGTCACTCCCGCATCGCCGACATGCTTGCGCGGGGTTTTTCACGAATCCCCCTTCAACATTTGAGTCCACCTTCTCCTCTGCCTTTGGCGGCGTTGGTTTCCGCTCCGCTGGCTTTGAGGTGTCGGTCACAGGCTCGTCCTTGCATCGTCGGCATACCTCCGTCCCGGCCGTCTTGGTGAATGGATTATGGGCCTTCGCCCGACTCGTCGGGTCCTCTCGTTGGAATTCCACCCGATCCCTCTCCAGCGCTTCAAACTCATCCGCCAGGGTCATCAGCGTTTCCAGGTCTTTGCATCTATGTGGTCGGATGAACATCCTTAGGCCCGGCATGCTGTTTTCTCGGATTAACTCCAACTCTTCCTCGGGTGGGCACTTCAATGGTCGGACGAGCGTCTGCATCTCCAGCATATAATCCTTGAAGGATTCTCCCCACCTCTGCTTCCGCGTTCTCACCTCCTGGAGCAATTTTTCAAAGTAACCCCTCGGGAGGAAGAACGCCTGGAAGCTGCGTGAGAACGCCGCCCAAGATTGCCAATGTTTATTGTTGGCGACAAACCACGTAAGTGCCCGCCCCTTCAGCAGCTCGGGCATCGCCCTGGGGATCATATCCAGTTCCAGCCCATACATGTCCGCTGACCATTCGACCTGCTCCAAAAATTCAAGGGGCTTTGCTGTCCCGTCGAATCGGAACGACCACTCTCTCACCTGTTTGGCCACGTGCGCATAGCTTGCTCGCAGCTGCCTCTTCGCTTGTTCGTCTCCCGTCGGGTGTGGGCTCCTTGACTCCCGTTGGCCTGAGGGAGCTGGGATGGCCGTCCT